TGGCTCAAAAAAGATCGGTACCATGATGCTGTAAATCACACATGTGACAGTACTTCACTAGAGAAATGTCTGCAAACCTTTGCAACAGAGCTCGATGCCATCATGTGCTTGATGTCAAAAACAGAAAAGTTTGAGTTCAGGACCATAAAATGTCAGTGAGCGACATTCTTCAAAAGCTTCTGTATGTAAAGGCCTCTGTGTGTGTGAAAGTGTGTGTGTGTGTGTAAAAGCATCTGCCTGTAAAAGCGTCTGTGTGTAAAAGCGTCTGTGTGTAAAAGGGTCTGTGTGTAAAAGCTTCTGTGTGTAAAAACTTCTGTGTGTAAAAGCGTCTGTGTGTAAAAGTCTCTGTGTAAGCGTCTGTGTGTAAAAGCCTCTGTGTGTAAAAGCGTCTGTGTGTAAAAGCTTCTGTGTGTAAAAAGCGTCTGTGTGTAAAAGGGTCTGTGTGTAAAAGGTCCGTGTGTAAAAGCGTCTGTGTGTAAAAGCGTTTGTGTGTAATTAAAAGCGTCTGTGTGTACAAGTCTCTGTGAAAGCGTCCGTGTGTAAAAGCCTCTGTGTAAGAAAGCGTGTGTGTGTGTGTAAAAGAATGCGTATGTGTGTAAAAGTGTCTGTGTGTAAAAGGGTCTGTGTGTAAAAGGGTCTGTGTGTAAAAGCGTCTGTGTGTAAAAGCGTCTGTGTGTAAAAGCTCCTGTGCGTAAAAGCGTCTGTGTGTACAGGAGTCTGTGTGTACAGGAGTCTGTGTGTAGAAGCTTCTGTGTGTAACAGCGTCTGTGTGTAAAAGCGTTTGTGAGTAAAATCGTCTTTCTGTGATAGCGTCTGTGTGTAAAGGCCTCTGTGTGTAAAAGCCTATGTGTGTAAAAGTGTTTAGTGTCTGTGTGTAAAAGTGTCTATGTGTAAAAGCGTCTGTGTGTAAAAGCGTCTGTGTGTAAAAGCGTCTGTGTGTAAAAGTCTCTGTATGTAAAAGCTCCTGTGTGTAACAGCTTCTGTGCAAAAGCGTCTGTGTGTAAAAGGTTCTGTGTGTGAAAAACAAAACGAAGGATACGATGCAAACTAGTGTCTTAAGAATTGTACTTGTAATATACTGTCTTGATAATACTTGTCTCGCCTGCCTATAATACATCTTTAATATATTGTCTTGCAATAAAGTGTCTCAATACTAACAGCAGAAGACCCTGCTCTCTCTCTCTCTCTCTCCCTCCCTCTCTCTCTCTCTCTCTCTCTCCCTCCCTCTCTCTCTCTCTCTCTCTCTCTCTTGCTCCCTTTCTCTCTATCTATGTCTCTCTGTGGGTGCAAGACAAGTGTCACATGATGCCCTTTATAACAACCAGCACAGTGCATATGCATGGGTTGTCACATGTATCCTCTTCTTAATCAATCTTACTTTTCACAACCTATCCCTCCATAGCTCATTTAAAATTCACCAACCATTCACCGACTATTTTTTACGACTACCATACTCAGAGCTGCTTGAAAAACGTGTTTTTCGCTCTCGGGCCAACCGTCGTCTAGTCTTTCTGACCACTTGAAGTTTATATATATATATACACGAAATTATTTCAAAACTATATTGACAAACCATGGCGTGAGGAGTCTTGAAAACGGAAACAGCCAATGAACCAACAGGGGGGGCTTGCTTGTGAGATGGCCCGTGGAACCCCCCTCAAAATAATTAGGTGGAAGGACCTTGAAATAATTTCATGGATTTTGGATAATATTAAGGGGGGTCTGTTTCTGGAAATTATTTCCGGGTATTTGCACTTAAGGACTAAGGATGTGAAATATAGCAAAGGTCAACCCCCCCTGGAAATAATTTTGGAAATTATTTTTAGGGGGACGGGGGCCCCTAGCTTAGGTAGGGGTGATGTTTTAGGCACTATACCAGGAGTCACTTAGCAATAGAATCACAAACGGTTGGTGAGACAATGCCTCGTCCGAGGTTGCAGCGATTGGGTGTCATGATTGATGCCAACTCGGCGAAAATCATTGCGAAAGCAACTAGCTTTGGTGACACTTGGCTCCTGCGGGGCCGAAGGGCGATCTATTGCACAACACTATTAAAAGAGTCAAGACAAGACTTAAATTTGACCCATCTCACATCACAGTCATTTACAGTCTATATATGGCTCCCGCTCAAAATGTAAGGCCCCAATCCATACCAATGATCCATATCCGAAAATGGCAAGTTGTTCTTGTGCCATGTACCAGGCCACTTTAGTCTGTCCTTCTTAGGAGGTCCGAATCAAACCTCTTATACGTAACTCACTGATTCCACTCGTAACTCACTGATTCCACTCACCGATCCATACTCGATATTTGAGCCATACCCAGTGCTCACAGTTGTTGTGGGTGTACAGTAGTATACCTGTATATACCTGCACTTTTTCCTTGAGTCAATAAGCCAACAGAATGGGAGGATGCTATTTTCATCTAAGAAATCTCATGAAAGCTCCAATTTGCACATAAGCGTGCTTGTATAACCTTCTTGATGATATCGTGTGGAAGTTCATGCAAACAGCAATTTGGTTCTTGCATGAAACTGCAGGTCTGAGATAGGCAAGGTTTTCAATTGCCAAAGATGGCCTAGGGGACCAAATGCTTCATCACCTTAGTGCCGGAATGTGCAAGGCACGCTTCCTCTATCATCCGACAATCCAGCACAACTGAGGATGCCGCAGGTGTTGCAACAGCACCGTGGCTTGAATCAGCCTGATTGCACGAGTGTTGTTGGGATGTTGATTGAGAAAGTGTAGCGGACTACTTTGTTTCATGAATTTCATGCTAGTTTAATGGGCAGCATATAGGCTGCTATTGTAGCACATTGTGGGAATTCCCCTCAAGCAATCAATGGCTAATCCGCAGTAGGTCTTTGATCCCTGCAATGGTCTATGGTTCTTGACTCTCTAGGTCAGGCAGACAGTCTCGAAGAAGCTGTATTTGCCTGTCAGGATGTATTCATGAGGCTGGTGGACGATCAGTTCAAATCGCTGCAAGGAGACTTGGATGAAGAGTTTTCACGGCTTCCCTGGTGTGGCTCTGACCTGGAGTCTTACCTTCCTAACAAAAACATGATGGCCTTGTGCTGGTCTGACATTATTGGAGTAGAATCGCTTATCGAAGTGTCATGGAAGAGATTTTAAAAGCCTTCAAGTCCCTTTCATTCTGCGAGGTGTCTTGACTGGAGTGGGCTCGGCGGAAATTCTAGGCCAGACTCAAGTTGCGTAGTAAAGGCTGTTGGTGAGAATCCGGACATGCCAAGGCAGGTCATCAAATTTGAGACCTTGAAAGACGCTTTTCTATTTATTTCTCCCACTCTCCTGTGCCGGAAGATTGGAGTATCATGGAGTGTCATATTTTTTAGCATTGAATTCTCCGATGCGAATCATGGACAGAGGCTTTCCAGTCCTACCTACTCAGGTCAATTGCTAGCCTTGCACCACAACCAATAGCTGCATATCGCTGCATATAGCTGCGCGTGCAATTGTAAAACAACGTGACTTGCAGTGCATTTTTAGTGCTGGTCGCTACGTTCTCATGCAGGTCCTGTTGGCATTGTGCAGCAGGGCGAAGAGCTGGTGCAGTCTGAAGGACTTCTTGGAATCTTCATTTTCTTTGTGACTTGGAAGCACCCTGCGAAGGTGAAACTGTTGGCACAATCAACTCAATCAAATGTTCACCAAACTACCAGGCAATCATGACATATCATGACTGCACAGTTTGAGTGTGTTCAAGCGTTTCAATGCGTTTCAGTTTCACTTGGACGGCACATTTAGAGCCCCTATGACCCCATGATTCCCCATGATTTTCTGCAAGATAGAGCTCAGTAGCCACGTCTCTGCCGCTCAGAACCAAGGTAACAATCAACCTCAACTTGGTTGCGTCCTTAGTTGAACGCAGCTGTCTGAGAGATGATCATGAGATCTCCCATTGTATGATTGTTTCATTGTCTTTGCTGGGTGCCATCTCAGAAAGACGTTACTCAATATGCGGGGACAGATTAACGTGAAAGGAAAGGACTGAGTTCAGGAAAGATGAATATACACACATTCGTCTCATACATGTGTGTATTGTATACATGTGATATGTGGGTTTTGTGGTTTGGTCAGACTTTGCTCGCAAATGCTTGTTTCGTACTTGCACTTTCACATTCTCTACTCATGTCAGGTCAGTTCATGTTGGTTCATTTCTATGTTTGGTTAGTACTGTTCTCATGTGCTTTGTTTGCATTATTGCATTTTCCTTGTTGTAGAAGCTGATGACCCTTCTGTCACCCATGCACCCAGGACTGGTGAACATGAAAGGATATTGGAAAGTCTAATTGTTCAGCTGCGCTACCATAGTGCTGAAAGACCCTTGAGAGCAACGCCAATCCCAGGCATTCATCAATGCATTGCCGCTGCCGGCGTTGGATGGTGGTAAAGCTTTATTCGTCTTCGCAGAGCAGGTCAGTTGATGATTGGGGGAGCTGTCATGCGCATCAGCTGATCAGAGTTCCACGGCTCCTCAGGTCCTTGGGCGCCGCCTTGACGAGGGGAAGAAGCAAGACATTGAGAGCTTTGGATGCCTAATGGACCTAATGATACCGAGAATTCGTGAAGTGTGTTGACATATGTTGATCCCCATAGTCCATGGGACGGGCCACCAGGCTCTAAGAAGATAATCCGACCGGAGTAGAGGACCTCGCCGGTATCTAGCCAGTATTTTGCAGGTATATTAGAACGAATTATTAGTATATAATAGGAGTTACTTGTCGGAAGATGGTGAGCACATGTGAGCACTGAGTTGGGTGTAGCTGCCTCGTCTGACACTGGCTAAACTAAATCTCAAAGCAGCAGATTAAGTTTGTGAACAATGCCACAACCTCAATTTTGACCAAGGCTGGCTTTTGTCCTGCTTGTGCTCCTGGGTCTTGCCAGTCTCACCGTGAAAGATGTGAGCCGTTTGTTTGGCCGCTGAGCCGTGCACTGGCCTGGGCTAGACCGCACCAACTCAGCCGGTAGAAAATGCTCTCAGCAGTGAGTTGTACTGAGTGGTCATGGTTGACATAGTTAGAGCGTGTTGGAGGTTGGCTTTCCCCGTTGGGTAAATGCCCAAAACCCAACATGTTTTGAAGCCACCACTCCACCATTTTTTTGATTGCGCCCCCTAGATTCTCTACGTCTTGAAATATGTATATATAGATATATACACAATATATATATATATATACACATATATAATGATTATAATGTAAGCCATTATCTAATTACAGTATATCTAATGACAGCAGATGAATATGAAATGAAACCTACTTAGATACACTGGAGGAAATGGAGTATCCTGTGATGAAAGATAATAAGATTAACCTGATTCATCACATATATTCTTGAGCTTCACCCGACTCATAGATTATTATCTCAAATATCATATAAACTCCACCAAAAAAGTGAAAACAAAACCAAGCAATGAAACTTTTAAAAAGCAACCAATATCCGAAGATTTGGAACTATCAGATGATGAGCCTAAGATCGTGGATTTGAGCAAGGAACAAACAGTAACGCACAAGTTCATAACCTTTGATTGTCCTTTATGTATGCGAACATGTACTTGTTATAAAACTTGTGTTGCCGTGCATGGTTTCCAGATTCGTTTTGATCACTTTAGATTACTTTTAGATTGTGTATGGTCAAGCTATGCGTGACGGAAGCTCAATCTCTGGTGAAACCACTAGCACCCCTAACCCGCCCTACCCTATCCTTGACATTCCTTGACCCTCGTTCTCTGAGGCCTGGGGAGATGGTGAGACACAGGTCCCAAGTGGGGAGGTAGGTGAGGTGCCACCGGTGCCACCGGTGCCACCAGTGGCATCGCTGCCCCTGGCACCACCGGTGCCCCAGATGGCGCCCCAGATGGCGCCCCAGATGGCGCCCCAGATGGCGCCGCTGGCAATGGGACCTGTGGCACAGCCAAACCCAGAGATGGCCATGGCAGTACCATCAGAGGATACACAATGGGATCGAAATTGGAACGTGCTGGCAATTTGGCAATTGGATGGCTGACACTTTGAACATGTTTGAACAACATAATTTGAAGAATTGGGGTATTAAAACGCATTTACTTAGGAAGTAATATACTCGTACCTGCAATCTCTCAACACGTTTGAAACCAAACAGGGACGTGCTTATCAGCTTGTCAGACAAGTCTTGTCATGAACGTTTTTTCTTCAAGCTCAGAGCTTTCCGTTGCAACTTTGGTGTTTTGTTGAGGATCAGAAGTGGGATCAAAGTTGGGAAGGTTGGGATGGATTCCAGGCGTGGGGCTGGGGACGCAAAAGAAAACCGGAAAAGGATGGAAACGGCGATTATCGTTCTCAATTCTTTCCTCCACACCACATTCGACTCAAGGCAGTGCATGTCACATTGCTTTGCGACACTGTGACTGTTCACATGTGAAACAACCTTGCTAAAGAGACTCATTCGCAGGCTCCTATGTCGATGGGATCACCTGCCTCCATGTCAGGGCCCTGGGCTTAATGCTCCTAGCCATGATCAGTACTAAACGCTTTGCACGTGAAAGAATGTGTTGTTGTAGCAATGGCCATGGTGGCACCAGGTGGAACCTTGGCATGGCTGCTCCCTGCAGAATCTGCACGATGCTGGCTATTTGCTTGGGATTAGATGTCAAACAGCGGGTCTGCACTCACTCAGGTTTCCACCTTTTCCATCGGCCAAGCACTTAACAGCAAAAGGCTGTGTGCACATCCGAAGAAGGAGTTGATCGAAAGGACCTCAATGTGAAGAAATCATCGCAACCCTCGTGTCCAATTCGTCGGATGTTGAATGAAAACACTTCATACATCTTCACGCTGACCACCAAAGAGTTTGCGGCCTTGAGTCTGGAGTGTTTTTGCGGTTTTTGCCCACTTGTTGCTTCGATCTATATATAGTTCGCACATGTTCGCACTCCATGCATTTGAATGCATTTGATATCAATATTCTTCACATGCATTGCGTACTCCCACACCTGGCGCGATGTAGTACTCGGTGTATGGGCCAGCCTAGGGTATCGGTGTTTGCCCGACCAAGGTGCTAGCTGTGAGTTCCTCAACCATGTGCAAGTTCTTTGCACAGAATCGATGCCTGCACGGGACCCAGAGAAGAAAATCAGAACATATCAGAACTCATTTCATTCATTGATTGCTTCCTGGACTCTGGGTTTTGCTGATCCAAAATTAAAAATACTCTTCTCGCGAGGCCACTGTATCCATTGTGTAATATATATATAATATAAATTATGTACGAGATTATGTATTTTGAATTATTTTTACATATTTTGACAAAGTTGACATAACCTGACTTCCGATATCTTCTGCATGTTTCATGATGCCTCTGTACTTAGGAAAGGCGATTTATGCCCTTTCCAGCATGGGCCGCCGCTGGAGCTTCCCAGTTTTACCGGCACTGAGCTGCCAGCTGCTTTTCGGGCAATCCTTGCTCAAGCTCCTCAGCAGCCGGGAGGACTGCCACCAGTGGCTTCCTTACCTACTCTACCACGTGCGCAATGGCAATGTTGTGGTTTGGGGCGAAAGCATAGCTAGATATAGCTTGGCAAGAAGTCCTGGAACTTGGTTTTATGGCCAGTACCCTACCTGTGTAAACATGTGCTGCTACTCAATGGGATGCGGAGGTTTATGTATCATGTAGCAAATACCTTGAGGAGGACCCGAGCTGCGCTGCACAGCAAATTGATGCAAATTATGCAGGATATTGCAGGATACAATATTCATCCATATTTAACCGCCGTTGGCGTGTTCCGCCGGCCACCACGGCCAGAGCTATTTGGGTTTCTCAAACCTTTAAAGCAGAGACATGACATAGGAGAGATAAAGTGCAAGTGCATGCAGTGAAGCGTAGCAGCAGTCAGGATAGGGGTGCCATTATAGAAGGGCGAAGCAAGAACATGATTTTGCGAGATGTGTGTGTGTGTAAAACATGGTGTTTCTGTGTGGAAAACACCAGGTGCCCAGATCCAAGCCTCGTCCTCCAAAGTTCGCCGCTTCTCTGTCTTTTCGTCTGCGACTCGAAAGTCTTCGAATTTGAGCTGGAAAAAAGGCAGCTGCAGTGCTGCACATCTGGACAGTTGAACATGCGTGCAAATCTATCTGCACATGGAATCAAAATGTACATGTAATGCTAAAAATGGTTTGTGCTTTCTGCACTCCCCCTTGACTGGTCCGTCAGGGCACAGTCACAAGCTCAAACTGCCTATCCTGGAAAATCAGTGCAATACATGCACCCGCGAAATTCGGAGGTGTTTTCAGTTCTTGGGCATCTGGCGTCTGTGTGAAGAGTCTGACCCGACGTCAGCAAGAGCAGTGGAGATCCTGGTGGTGGACGTCCTCGCGTTCGCATCCCCACTTCTTTACAGAGTTCACACCATGAAAACTTTCTCGCAAATCCAGTTCTCGGGCCCTTCAATTGGGTGCAAGCCCGAGTTGAATGATAAACAGTCCCACATGGTGTCCTGAACACGTCAAAGCCCAGGTCTGCATCTTGATGATTTTCATTGACGTACGGAAAACGACCAATCCTTCCGTACTCTCTCCACAGCTCAACCTCTTCTTCTGCAATCGTTCTGATGGTGGCATGAATTCTTTCAGCCATACTATCTGATGTCTCTCCACTTCCAGAGCTTGACGACGGCTCTGTGCTTGGGCCAGGCGTGGCTGTTTCTCTCACAGCATCTCGCCGGCCAGCCCCCGCGAGCTGGACCAGGGCTCCTCTCCCCGACCCGTCCTCAGCGTGGCCAAGTGAAGCATCACTCCTCACATTTTGTGTTGGCCCGGGCAAAGCTGTCTCCTCCACAGCAAGCCCTGGGCTAGCCTGCGCGAGCTGGACCAGGACCCCCTGTCCCGACCCCGTCCTCAGCGCGGCTCGGTGTTGGATCTTCACCTGGGCCGGGCACAGCTGTCCCATCTACAGCGTGCCTCCAGCCGGCCTGCGCGAGCTGGACCAGGGCTCCTCTCCCCGACCCGTCCTCAGCGCGGCCCATTGGTGTCATCAACTCCTCAATGTTCGGCCTTCTGACCTCAGGTTCTTCAGGCTCCGCAGGGAGGCTTCGGCTCTCGCCGCCAAGTAACCAATTCCTCAAGCTACTGCAGGCTGAGCTTACTCCTACCTTCCACAAAACTTGAAGACCCAGGGTAGCCATCACAACCAAAATGGTATAGATCATCATCAGCTGATTGAATTCGGCTGAAGATTCTTCCTCGTCGTCCTCCATGGCCTTTGACATCTGCAAAGTGGCGGCTAAGGTGATCAGCCACAAAGCCAAAGTGGCAACTTCCGGTCCCTGTGGATGTGAAGGGATCTTCTTCCCCTTCTCTTCATTCTTTCCTGCATCCTCAACTTCCACATGCCCAGTCTTTTTCATGCCGAGCATTCGTGTCGATGCCAGAGCTTTGGTTCCTATGTCTGCTATCATGCGCTCTCCAGGAACGTGGCCCACCTGCCAATCACCCCTCAAGACCGCCTGCCTCGCAAATGACCATTACAAGCGCAAATGTCTGGTGCGCCAGCTCCCTCCTTCTGCCAAAAGGATCGCCAAAGCAGCTTGAGAATCGCAAAGTGCGATGCGGTTGACCTCGGCAAACAACTCCGAGATGATGGCATAGACAGACTCGCCCGCCACCATCGCCTCCACCAGTTCCGTGAGCTCCGACTCTGCCGTGCTCAAGGTCACCGCGGATTGGCGGCCACTTCTCCAAAACATTGAACTTCCATTGGCCAAAACAATGAAAGACCCATGCGACTCATCTGACTCCGGGGCAAAGCTGGAGTCTGAGTAGACATACAGGTTGATTGGGTCTTCTGGTCTCTCCTCAAACTTCAATCCTTCTTCCAAAGTGGCCCTCAAATACAGCCTCATCTGCTTGGCTGTCTCCTGTATGACGTGGGTGGACTTGAGAACACTCGCGCCCATCCTTGAAACTCCAAACATCAGGTCTGGTCGTGTACGTGTGACTAACCAGAGCAACTCTCCAATGACCTTCTGACATGACTTGACCCCCTCTGGTGACGGTGGGGTCACATCATGATTCATGGCAGCTTGATCCCGTATGATGGGAATCTTTCTCACTTTCTCGCCATCCTCATACCTTCCAAGAAGATCTCTGATGTAAGCCTGTTGATTCAAACTCCAATGCATTCTCTCCTCCCCCTCTGCCAAGCAACGGGTGATCTCAATGCCCGAATCTGACTGGCTTTTCTCCAATTTCTTCTGGAACTGAAGTGCTCCAGGTCTGCTGAAGCTGCTGTGTCACTGACTCCATGACCTCCCTCCTGCCGGTGATCAGGATGTCATCAACATACGTCATGACCAGTCCAACCACCCGGCCATTGGAGACAAACTCATCTTCCAGATCTTCTTGAAAGCCCTTTCTCAAAACAACCACCTTCCAAAGGTTCTGCTCAGACTCCATCTGTTTCAAGACCAGCATCTCCTTTCTGCCGTCCAACACCACCGAAATCTTCATGTCTCTCATGGTTCGGTCACGGTGTAGTCCCCACAACCTTGGAGATCTTCGAAACCCATAAACCGCCCTCAACGGCAGAAAAAGTGCTTCTCCTTTGAAAAACTTGGCCTCTCTCAAAACATGTGGAGCCTGAATCAGCAGCAAATCCTCCTCAGGCGACTGCTCCATTTCAGCGTTCAAAAACGCCGTGCGCACATCAAGCACGCACCCACACCAACCCATCTTTGTTGACGTCCAAACCAAAAGACGCAAAGTGGTTGCGTCTGCGCCTGTGGAGTAGGTCTCTTCCCCCTCCTTTTTCTCCTCATAGTTCCCACAGACAACCCACCTGCTCTTCAGCTTCCCACCTGGCTTGATCGTAAACACCATCTTGGAGGGCAAGATTTCCAACTTCTTCCCCTCTTTCTGTGCTTGAAGCTTCAACTCCTCAACTTCTGCCTTCGTCAATGGCTTCAGAGCAGACTTCTCCACCGTCAATGATTCCACCTCACTTCTGATGGAAGGTTCCCATTCAGTCCAGTTTCGAAGAACCTCCTTGGGAGAAATGATCTTGGTCTGCAAAATCTCTTCACTCTCCCCCTGTTCCTCCACCATCTTTCTCAAGCGTCCCAAAATTCGGACCTCATCTGCTGCAATCTCTGCGTCTTCGTTGATGAGAGTCTGCATTTCCTCCTCAACCAACTTCATAACCCTTCGAACTTCAATCTTCTTTTCCTCCTCTTCGACTTCTTCTGAACTCATCAAGGAAGCATCCATCTTTCTCAAGGTGGACTTACCTCTGATCCTCCTCCGCTGCTCTTGAGCATCTCGGCCCTCTCGTTCAACTGCAACCCAAACCGTGTCATCCTCAGGCTCTGTCGTTGGTGCCAGGATGTATCTCGTCAGCCTTGGAGCTTCACCAGACTTGTAGATCCAGTGGCCATGATTCTCAATGGAAGGGCAGAGATACTGCACCTGCTCCACACGTGACGACAAATCGTCCTTCTTCCAAGTTCTTTTCCTCACCCTCACTTCCTGAAGGAATCTAGGCCAATCAGGCTTTGTTCCCATTCGAATGCACCTTTGAACCTCATTGGAGTATCGTAGTGCCAAAGGCCACCATTTCGCATCCACCGACGCCTGTCTCAGCGTCCTTCTGATGTAATTCTTGAAGGCTTTCACTGCAACCTCAGCTCGTCCATTTCCACGAGGATCATCACCTGCCGTTCTCGTCAGGTAGATTCCACGTTGCAATGCCCACCTCCTGAACTCACCTGCAAACTCGTGGCCCTGGTCTGAGTGGATCCTCCCGATGTGATACCCCTCTGACCTCAATCGCAAGACAAACTCCATCACCGTGGCTACAACTTCTCTTGCCTTCTTTGATTTCATCGGCAAGGCCACGCGAAAAACTCGCAGTTCTGTGGCTTCCTCCAAGGTCGGAGGACCATGGGTCTGGAGCGGCTCAGCTGGCTCTGCTCCTTCACCTGAGAGCTGGACCAGGGGTTCACCCCCCGACCCGTCCTCATCAGGGACCCCGCCAGGGTGGCTCCTCTCATCACCCGGCGCTTCACCGGAGAGCTGGACCAGGACCCTTTGTCCCGACCCGTCCTCATCCAGTGGAACTTCATCCTGAACTTCATCATGAACTTCACCATCTTCTCCTTCTGCTTCAATCATTGGGGCATCATCCGGGAGATCCTCTTCTGGTGGATCCTTCAACTTGTCTGTTCCTCGAGGCACCCTCCACGTCAAAGCACCCACAAGGAAATATCGTGCCATAGCTCCACCAGAATCATAGGCTGGTTTCAGTGGACCAGCAGTGTCTATCGACAGCACACCTGCAAGTGTATCTCTGACTCGACGATGCGGGGCACACTGTTGAGAGCTCTCTTGACATACTCTGCAGTCACGTCGATAAGGAGCATGTCTGAACTCCAAATGTTCCTCCCATGTCATGGACTGGAGTTTCACGCCGGACTGACATACCTGTTGAATCAGTGCTGAAGACACCATAGACATCACTCCAGGAGCCCATCTTGACAAATCAGTTGAGCTCGAGACCTTGACAGGGCTCCCAAAGCTCCTTCTTTGGAAGACGTCCACGTTCAGCTCCAAGTTTCCACCAAACGTCGTAGGCTTAGGGCTTAGGAGAAGCTCCTCCCATGGTACCCTGCTTGAAAGTGATCTCTTCCAAGGCGAACTCTTTCGCAATCGCCTTCCACTCCTGGGTGTCCCAGAAACTGACAACCTCTGGCATGTATTCCCTTGGCGACGCTGGTTGTTCAAGTCCAAACGCCACCCAATCATCCAATTTTCTCGCCCTTCTCATGTAAGTTGACAGCATGAAAAGAAAGATGCATCGCCACGTCATGATGTCATCCTCATGCAACTTCTGAATCTCCTCCTCTGTGGCTTCTTTCACCCCAAACTCCTCTCCACCCCATCTCCTGATTGGGCGCGTTGGGCTGCCCCGGAATTGGAACATGACGAAGTAGGCTGCGTGTCCTGCAATTTGGACCAGCCACCACAGCCAGAATCTTGGACTCAATCGCGGCTCTGATCAGGCCAGCATAGACACCCTCATCCGTCATAACATCGTGATGTGGACCCCTCTTCAGATCCACCTCAAGCAGCTTGTCATCAGGTCCACCCAGTTGACGTAGTGCCCTCTTCAAAGTAAAACCAAAATCAGGTCCAGCAGACAAATGAACCATCATCCCATCCCGTCGCCACCTTTTTCGCTGATGACGATTTCCCGGAAGCGCGGACCACTCACCTGGACAGACCACAAGTTTCTCCTTGATGTACTCTGGGAGAGACGACAGTACTGGGCGTTGTTCCACCAATCTTTTCATCCAGCACACCTCCTCATCGTATTCACCAAGGGTCTTTGGTATGCCAACCTTCGCATCTTCAATCTCCGCAATCAAATCCAATGCTATGGACTTGGCAAGATGTGGGCATCCCTCCTTCATCTGAATTGGAATATCCCCTTTTTCTGGATGTCTCAACTGCATTTCTCCATGACTCCAAACAATCTGGCACCCCAGCACCTCCGTCAGCTGTCCCATCGGCACAATCGGCTCAATTGCCGGCGAAGGGGCAATCATTGATCCTCCAGGCGCCATGCGTAGCCTCACAGCTCTTCCATCTGCTAGGCCAACATCAACCAGTGGATACTTCTGGACGTTTTCACCATCTCTGCGAGGGCGAAGTGCATGAGTCGCCCCTGAATCAACCAATCCCACATCCGCTCCTGTGGCCAATCTCCTCATCTTGAAAGCTTTCATAGCCTTCAACTGCTGCTGAAGCCTTTCCATCACATCTTTGCGTTCATCCTCCTGAGTGCTACCCCCAGAAGACGCTTGGCTTGAAGATGGTTTTGACGACAGAGACCTCAGCATCTTGTTCGCCTCCTCCAAAAGATCTTTCACGGCACTGTCTGAACTGGCTTGGCTGCTAACTTCAGGGTCCTTTCCAGAGGTCGATCCCTTGTCCCCTCAACCTTTGCCATTCTGGGTTTGGTAGGGCTCGTCTCTGATGATGGGCCCCTCGATCTGGTGCAGGACGGAGAAAAATGATCCACGCTGCCGCAGGTGTAGCAACGCCTCTTCTCATCTCTCACATCATGGCTAAATCCACATTCTTTTCCTTTTCGACATCCTCCATCTGTGAGGTAAAACTTGCATTTGGGTTTCTGCTTCTCATCGCCATCCAGCTTGTCTTTACCCTTGCCTTTCCCTTTGTCCACCTCCATGGCCTTGAGCTTCACGTCGCCCTTCATCCCCACAGAGGCAGCTCTCTTTTCTGCCGAAGAAACCTGCTCAACCTCCGCCAAGAGATGTGTTGCAAACTGGTTGACGGTGATGTCGGTAGGTCTTGTGTCCACTCCAAGGGAATTTCGGGCCAAACTAACCCGAAATTGAAGTTCTTTGTTGGACTCCAGCACCTTGCAGCCTTGCGGGTAAGTTTGTTCAGACCCTTGAGAAGGAGTGCAGGGTCCGGTGTCACGGCGCCTATCTCCTGAGACCGCAACTTCCAGCGAAGCCATCTTCTGATCGCTGAGGGAGCTTCGGCCATCGTTGCAACTTCCATAGGATCCTCCAAACTGCGGAGCAATGTCTGCTTCTCCAGCACACCGCCCGGGCAGTAGGTCAGCAACAGCTGCGTCAGAATCCCAAAAATGCTCAATCTTCTGGCCGAAATCAGCTCCTCCTTCACCACTTCGGGAACTGCTTGCAGAAGCAGTGATGCCATCCGTCGCTCCAATCTCGACCATTTCTCCAAGTTCACCTCTTGCGGTGGTCTGACATCGTGTTGAACTCGGTCCAATGGAGACATGGCCATATGTCTTTGATACCAGTCCTCCGCCGACTTCACCATCAATGCCCACCACTTGACAAATCGGCTGCAATTGGCTCAGCTGTCAGCAGCCAATCTCCCAGTTGTAAAGGCCCTTGACTCGGAGTCCAGGGTTGTAGAGTTGGCAGATCAGGAACGCCGGTTCTCACAACCTCGACGCCCCTAACCATCCCTGATTCCTCCTTCGACTCACTGACCTTCTTCTGCAAATCTTTCATGGTCTCCATCATGATCATCATGAACTCAATGGATTTTTCGGTGAAAGTGGCTTCACCGGACTGGGGCGCACTTCGACCAGAGCTCGGCTTCTGTGCACCTTCTTCTGGATCCTCAGTCCTCACTTTTGGGGGTCTTTCAGCCTCCTTGGGGGTCTTAAAGTCTGCAGCCTCCTTGAACTCTGCAGCCTCAGGGAGGAATGGTGGTCTGCCAGCCTCTTGGAACTTCCAGTCTTCTCAGTACTTCGTCGCCTCAGCCAGTCTTGGTCCTCCTCCGGATGACCTGAGTTCGGCTTCGAAGTCTGTTCCTCAGGAGTAGAAAACCTAAGTTCTTATTCCTTGGAAACTTTCTCATCCCCATTCACCTTGGACCTCAACCGTTGATTCTCTGCTGTCAACGACTGGATCTGTTTTCTGAATTCCTCCTTTTCATCTCTGTCCCTAGCTATCTGAGAGTTCAAGAATTCCACATCCCTTTCCATCTGACTCTGCGCAACTCTTGGGGCGTCAACATCCAAAAATGTGGGACGCGGAACAGAACCAGTGAAAATGGACTGTGGGTTTCCGTAAAGCCATGGTGCTTGGCTGTGAATGAATGCAAAATTCCGCAACTGCTCTTCTGAAAACAACGGAACTTGTGGACCCAAAAACCCTCCTGGAGTTGCAGCCTCTGACATCGGTCCTCCAGGAGTTGCCATCTCGCTCCTCAGAGGTCGTTCCGCAGTCAAAGACCCTGATTCCACATTCTCATTCATCTTCTGGTCGCGCATGCCGTAGGAGGTGTCACCGTTACCCAGCTCAGGTGGTTGAGGTGGCGGATCAGTGGGCAGCTGTAGCGGCTTTCTGGCTGAACCCTCAGTAGGACTTCTGACTGGGGTACCCTTAGGGTTACTATAGTCAAAGACGGGTGGTAAGAAGAAAAGGACACCCGCCACAAGTTTAGCAGGTGCATTTTTGGGGGGGCAAACTTGTCCAGCACCTGCCTCTGCAGTCTTTCCGGCAACATGTCACCAATAACCCCAAACCTGCTTACTGGGGTTGGTTGTGGTCACACACTATGAACATAATTTATCAAATCCTCATCAAATCCTCATTTTATCCTCATTTTATCCTCATTTTATCTTCATTTTATCATCATTTTATCCTTGTTTTATCCTCATTTCCTCAATAAATCCTCATGTTATCCTCATTTCCTCATCAAATCCTCATTCTATCCTCGTTTTTCCTCATTTCCTCATCAAATCCTCATTTTAGCTTCATTTTATCTTCATTTCCTCATCAAATCCTCATCAAATCTTCATTTTATCCTCATTTCCTCATCAAATCCTCATTCTATCCTTATTTCCTCATCAAATCCTCATCAAATCCTCATTTTATCCTCATTTTATCCTCATTTTATCCTCGTTTTATCCTCATTTCCTCATCAAATCCTCATCAAATCCTCTTTTATCCTCATTTCCTCATCAAATCCTCATTTTATCCTCGTTTTATTCTCATTTTATCCTCGATTTATCCTCATTCCCTCATCAAATCCTCATCAAATCCTCATTTTATCCTCATTTTATCCTCATTTTATCTTCATTTTATCCTCATTTTATCCTCATTTCCTCATCAAATCCTCATTTTATCCTCATTTTATCCTCGTTTTATCCTCATTTTATCCTCGTTTTATCTTCATTTCCTCATCAAATCTTCATCAAATCCTCATTTTATCCTCATTTTATCCTCTTTTTATCCTCATTTCCTCATCAAATCCTCATCAAATCCTCATTTTATCCTCATTTCCTCATCAAATCCTCATTTTATCTTCATTTCCTCATCAAATCCTCATCAAATCCTCATTTTATCCCCATTTCCTCATCAAATCCTCATTCTATCCTGGTTTTATCCTCATTTCATCAAATCCTCATTTATATCCTCATTTTATCCTCATTTATCCTACATACATACATAGGTTCATGAAACAGGATGCAAAATAAATGAGGTTAGATAATGAGGATTAAATGTGCAATCACAACAGCGTGTTTCAACTCTCAACAAAGGTGCAGTAAGCAGTTTTCATTGTTGATGGTTTGATGATAAAACCGGAAACTGCTTACTCAGTGCTTACTGCACCCCTGAAATCCAGGATTTTCCCCAAAAGTGCCAGAATCTAGGCATTTTAGGGTGTGGTAGGCAGAAAAATCTCTTCTTACCACCCGTCTTTGACTATATCCCTCTTATCCTCAATGGGCGGGGACATCATAGCTTCTTCACCAGTCCCTTTTTCGGGTCCATCCTCTAGAGCCTTCTCACCTTTCTCTACAGCCTCCTTACGAAACCTTGCATCAGCCAACATGATCTCTTCCTGACCCTGCTCTAGTTCTCGGGCGGTGGCTTTTCTCCTCCTAACATCTGCAATTTCTGCCTTTGAATCCTCTATTGAACTTCTAACCAAAGGAGATCTTCAGTGGCCTTTTGGGCTCATAACCTGGAAAACACCAGGTGCCCAGATCCAAGCCTCGTCCTCCAAAGTTCGCCGCTTCTCCGTCTTTTCGTCTGCGACTCGAAAGTCTTCGAATTTGAGCTGGAAAAAAGGCAGCTGCAGTGCTGCACATCTGGACAGTTGAACATGCGTGCAAATCTATCTGCACATGGAATCAAAATGCACATGTAATGCTAAAAATGGTTTGTGCTTTCTGCACTGTGAAACACTTGAAACACGTTTTTTTTTTTCTGCGAATCAGCGTTTTGTTTAGTAGGAAGACGTGCTTTTACCCAAAGCATGGTGTTTGCGTAAACCAGGGTTTGAATTTAAACCGAAGCAGTGCGTGAACCAAGGTTTTTGGAAAAGGCCATACATAGAAAGGTTGCGCGTGTAAATGGTGTTCTGCACAAAAGCAAGTGGATTGACAGGCCACCTGTATGAGGTATAGGAACGTAGACAGAGCAAACCGATCGCGAGCACCACAATGGAAATGGGAGCACAAAAGAACATGCGCATGTTGCGCGAGGCGTGGGCAGAGTCGAACTCAGCACATTGCAACGAAAGACGCAGAGGAAGAACGCGAAGAGGAGACACACAACATGGTTTTTGCGTAAACCGGGGTTTGAGTTGAAACCGAACCATGTCTGTAAACAAAGGTTGAAACGAAAGATGAAAAGCGCGACGCGGATGATGAAGGGGGGGGGAGGGAAGGGGAGGGGGGAGGCGGGGGGGGAGGGGTGAAGAGGGGCCCTAGCGTTTACTTCAAGATCAGCTAAGGCGTCTTCCCAAGACAACTCACACTTTTACTCTCGGCGTATTGCCAGTTCGTGCGGTGTCCACAGGGTTCCTCTATATACCTCTTGAGCCTTGAGGGCGCATATAAATGTGCTCAATACTCATGCATGTACCTCTGTAGGTATTAGGTCAAAGAAAAACAAGGGGGGCGTTCAAGTTAGACGAGGCAAAAATCCGCGCCAAGGGGAAAGTCTAGACAGAGACCAAAGACAAAACAAACAGTCCAACTACGAACAAGCAAGATCCACAAGACACGCCGGCAGGCAGGCGGATTCTAGAAAATTATCAAAATATGTTTGATGATGTTTGATGGGGGTCAGAAGAAATTCGTTTGAGCTTCATTTTTGGCTCGCCCCTGGTGCGCTAGGTACTCAGATTCTACACAATGGCAAATCGGCAAAACTGAGCTGAAGTCACGCAGTGGATTCGAAAAGAAAATCACTCGAAAGTAGCGGATGTCCTAAGGGCATGTCGAAAAGAAAACAGCGGATTCGCCAATTATTTTTCGGCAGTGACCAATGGTGCGTTGAGCACGGTCTCTCCAAGCAAAATGCTCGCTCTACCGGTGTGAAAAGTTTCTCATTCGCATTGCAAGATTCAGAAGTTGAGGTCAGATGAAAACAGTTGGCCGAATCACAAAATAAACGGAAGTCGCAGATCTCCAAAGTTGATCATTCAAGCGAACTATTGGATTCGCTCCATTCGGAGGTGTTCTGCTCAGAAGAAAGTTCATGGAGACAAATTGTGATAGTATCTCTATTTACAGGAGTATCTATCTACATTAAATTGAAATTCAGACACTTGTGACATTATCTCCATCTAAAAGAGTATATGCCATCTTGTGAAAAACAAGCTTGGTGCACAGAAAACTGTACAAGGCCTCTCATGATGTGTTATCTTCAGTTAAAGAAGTATACACTCACTTATCGCCAATAGCCTGTTCTCCAACTTCCGGACGAAGAAGCTGAGGATCTGCCATAGCCAGTGCTGCGCTGATCGCTCCATGCCTGATCTTCATATCCTTTCCTCTTGTTCTGCCTCTGAGTTTCCTTCCTTTGTTGCTTTCGTTTGATCTTCATCTGACTAGGTTTATTGCTTCTCTCATTCCAAGTCATATCAGAAGGGTTCAAATGAACAAGAATAGGATTGTGAGCATCACGATCATTTGGTGCAACCATGACGATATTGTGATCACCATGTAAGCAAGTTTCCTTCATCTTGAAGTAAAATTCACCCACGTAGTTCATGTCATCTTCATCTTCAAACCTGGCTAAGTCATCCTCATACTCCAGACGTGCATGTCCCCACTCAACAATTGAAAGCATACAACAATCACCTTTGTCTGTTGTCTTCTTCATAAGTTCTTCGGTGTATGTCTCTGTTGTAATGTCTTCCAGATGTGTTGCTAGAAAATCAAGATCTCGATAACTGCAAGAAATGAAGTGCTTGACCCTGACTGGAGGGCAAGTTTTGTCAAAGTTCTTGCGTGGGGCTTGTGTTGCAACATCCATCATTCTGTTGATCCAGAATTGTAATAAGCTGTG